ATTTAAAAATTGATTTGGTATTTATATATTAGCTTTATTATCAAATTGCTTAAGGTCATTTTTAATTTAGAGGGTTAAAAATAATGCACTTTATTATTTACTGATTTTAGTGTGGCACCAGAAATAATTATTATTGGTAAGTTAATTCAAAATTGTATATAATATATAATCACTCCCCTGTATGAAATTAAATGCATCATTTATAATGTAAGTTATGTAATATCAATCACATATGGAAATTGTTAGCATCAAAATCAGAATTTAAGAATGCTAAAATTATAATTGAATAGGAGACCTATTGGGATGCCTCAATTTAGAGAAATTAGAGCTTTATGATGAAATTTTATACAAAACCAATATTTTTATTAAAGACTTTAGGGTATGTACATTTACTTTCCAGAAAAAATAGAATGTAATTAGGGTGATTAATTATATTAATTATATGCATGCTTGAAGTAATGCACTTCAGAATTTTTGGATTTTTAGGAGAATAGAAATTTACCATCTTTTATTGTGCAAAACACCAACTAAATTATTACTAAAAATACATTCGTAGTCAAGCAGAGAGTTCATGCAATAGGAATGCTGAATTTAGCCAAAATTGCCAAATAAGATCTGAAGATAAAATTTAAGTAACTATTATTTAGAAACTAAATCCATGATTTCGTTTCACAAATGAGAACAAACTGTATTCTGAGAATGTGTGAGACCAATTTTTGAATTTGATATAATAGATTCTTATTTTTAAGTTGCTAAATATTGTCATACTTCAAATTATAATTTAGTTGGAGAATCCAAACAAAAAACTTAATATTCAATATTGCAATTAAATTGGATTGTTATTCTTGAAATTTTAAATTATCTTGGCTTATATATATAAATTAAAGAATTAAATTTTTAGAAAAACCGAAAGTAATATTTCTTACTATTTGGGAACTCCAAAAGTGTTCACTGGTTTTGATTAGATAAGAATCAATAATGTATATTTTGGCGAATAAACTACTAAAATACTACTTTAATATCAAAATTAAAAAGTTAATCTTATCTTAAAAATATCTTAATGTAAGAAAAATAGTATAATCATATTAATTCTTTTTTTGATTCAGAACAAATTGGGGGATATTACGTTGTATAAAATTTCAATATTTAATTCTAATTCCACCTCATCTATTTAAATTAAATTATTAATTTAACAAGGCATTGAAACTATAAAAATGATTATATAAAATTGCATATTTACAAAAGTTGCAGCTGTTTTGGTTTATTAATAATAATCAAGTTTAAAAATAGATTGAAGAATTAGTTTGATTAAAACGTATTTCTTGAATCCTAACTTATCGCCTTTATTACAACTACTGATGACTAACGTAGAATGGAATTGAAAGGCATAACAATAACATCAAGTTAGTTTTTTACCTCCTTCATTTTCAATAGCGCTAATTTATAAGAAATTACAATAAATAATATTATACTTAAAAAAATTCAATAATCCTGTCAACCTTTAGTACGTTTAATAAGAATTTTTTCTATGTTTAAACCTCATTAGATAATAAAAAGTTTCT